CCCTCCCTCCCTCCCTGCTTCCCTCTCCCGCTCCCTCTCCCTCTCCCTCTCTCTCCAGGATATCACTAATATGTAGTTCAGGCTGGCCTTGAACTCGCTATGTAGCTTAAGCAGGCCTCAAACTTGCATGTCCCTTAGTAGACCAGGCACCAGGAAGGCCCTGGGACACAGGATGGATGGCATGATCCAGCCCAAAGATGCTCAGGGTCTAACAGCTAAAGAAAGTAGAAAGTGGAGATTTCTTTTCCATCCTTGCCCCGAGCCCTGGGGAACTGATCTTGAGCAGATGCCCAGTCCTTGGGGCTAAGGTAATAACTGCACCAAAGCTCTACACCAAAGGTCAGAAGATAGTGCTATACAAAATGACAAAGAGAAGGAGCGAAACACATTCTCAGGCCCTGAGCCCACTCAGAACAAATGCAGGAGACAACAGCATTGAAGAAACTGGAAATCACAAACCTGAAATCTCTGAACTAATAGCAAGTGAAGTAAAGAAACAACTGCAGAAAGGTACAGAGGAAATCAGATCAGAAATAATTTCTGAAGTAAAAAAAGAAATGATAGCTACAATGAAAAAACTATTAAGTGCTTCTAAAGAAGACATTGATAAAAAAAATGAAGATTAAAAAAATGATGGAATCCTTGAATGAACAATATAGGAAAGAAATAAAATTCATGAAGCAGATTCAAAGTGATATACAGGAAATTAAAACCTCAATCACAAGCTGGTAAAACTGTTTGAGTGAAAGTTAAAATAGACTTTCAGACCTTAAAGACACCACTGCAGCTAGTGAAAAGGTAAGAAAAGATCTCTTAAAAACAACTAGTGGTGAATGAAAGCAAGAGACAGGAAAAGGAACATTGTGGGACTGTCCTGTTTCAAGGTTGTATATGATGAGATTTTTGGACTTATGTGCAAACATGAGAAGTATATAATTCTTTATCTTATTTTTAAAATATAATCTAATTTAAAAATTTTTTTATCATATTATGTAGGGACTTAAAGTTCAACATATCGATACTTGATGAAAAATACCTGTTCCTTATTATACCTAACATGTTTGAAATGCAGAGAGATAGTGAGGTCAAGCTTAATAGCCTAAGTCGTTTGATAATAAAAATAAGCTTGTCTTCTGGATGGTTAACAACCTAAGTTTGCAAATCAAAATTAGAGAAAAAGGAGGGCTACAAGGAAAGCCAACATTTTGGCCCTAACCTTCTAAGGTCAATTAAGACTCAGGACATATGAGAACTTGTACT